CAGCATACAGCTGCTCGTACGGCTGGAGTATACCGTCTTCTTATTCTTGACGGCCATAGTAGCCACGCTACACCTAAGTTCGACCAATACTGTACAGAGAATAAGATAGTTACTCTCTGTATGCCAGCCCATACCTCTCATCTCCTCCAGCCACTAAACGTAAGCTGCTTCTCCCCACTAAAGCGCGCGTACGGACGTGAGATCGAGGAGCTCGCCCGTCAAGGCGTCTACCATATTGACAAGATAGACTTCCTTACAGTCTATCAACAGATCCGGCCAACAGTTTTCACGCAGCAGAATATCCAGGCAGGCTTTCAAGCGACAGGACTTGTCCCTCTATGTCCAGATCGCGTTCTATCGTCGCTAACTATCGTCCGGACGCCGTCTCCACCACAGGCAACTTCAGACAATACTATAGACAATAACGTCGCAACGCAGACAGAAACACCACACACAGTAGCACAGCTTGAGCAGCAGGTGCGCTATCTCCAAGAGCGACTGCGCCGACAGCCAGAGAGCCCAACGAGCATTGCGATACGCCGGCTCGCTAAAAGCGCTCAGCTTGCAATGCAATCAGCAATAATACTTATAGAGGAGAATAAGAAGCTACGTGCAGAAGTCCAGCGTCAACGACAAAAGCAGAGTCAGCCGCGTCAATATATCGCTTCTGGTGGAGTGCTCCAGGTCTCGCAGGCTCAGCAGCTTGCTACAGAGGCAGAAAGGTTACTCATATGAGATAGCCAGAACCAGGCTGGTGAGCGACGTCAGCACGCGCCGCCAACGTGCACGAAGTGTCACGTTGAAGGACATACTCGACTTCACGTAGAGCTAAATAAGTAATTATTTTTCTAATTTTATTCAATTTAACTCCGTCTTTGTGGCTCAATGGTGCGAAGCGTTGGGTCAAGTTTGGTGGGGTGCGCAGCTTACTGGGGTGCGCAGCTCACTAGTGGAGCACGTTACTGTATAATAGACAAAGACGGGTGTCTGAGTAACTACTACAATAACGAACGAAACTATCTTTGCGGATCCTGGTTTCACGTTCGACACTATATTCGGTCCGAACAAGCCATCTCAGTTCCAGGTTTCGTGTGTGTCTAAGCGCCATATCCTCTGGAGTTCCTTTCAACAACGCGACGAACTATCAGCTTCAACGAAGATCACGCCCTGCTCTAAGAAGGAGATTCTCGAGTGTTGCGGAGAGTTTCCTTTCAATAGCCAAACGGCACAGCCCGGGAGCTCCTCTTTCTCGCATGATGAATCACCCAACAATCGAATTCTATGTGGGAATACTGCCCTAGCTTCCACAGACGGCACAATGAAGCGCGAAAGTCCTCCACAAGTCTTTAGTTCTCACACTGATGCCGGTCAAGGAAACCATGCAATATTAGAATGTAAGCCCAGAAGTACCATGTATAGTCGCGTGGTTACTCACTGACTAATAACGATGTATTTAAACTTGCTCCTATCATGATACACAGAACAATACAAAATACATCTTAACGTGCGGGATCAGTAAGCTGGCCGCCCCACCAAACTTGACCCAACACTCTACGCAATTACTCTACAACAACGCAATAATATAAGATAAAATTAAGAGGTACTATTTGTTATCTAGTTCTACATGAAGTGCAAGTATGTCCTTGAATATGGCACTTCGTACACGTTGGCGGCGCGCGTTGACGTCGCTGACTGCCCTCAGCCTGCTCACCCTCTACGACCACCCTTTCTGCCTCTGCAGTAAGCTGCTGAGCCTGCGAGACCTGGAGCACTCCACCAGAAGCGATATATTGATGCTGTCGATCTTGCTTTTGTTGTTGGCGCTGGAATCCTGCACGTAGCTTCTTATTCTCCTCTATAAGTATTATTGCTGATTGCATTGCAAGCTGAGCGCTTTTAGCAAGCTGGCGTATCGCAACGCTTGTTGGACTCTCTGGCTGTCTGCGCAGTCGCTCTTGGAGATAACGTACCTGCTGCTGAAGCTGTTCTACTGTATGTGGTGTTTCTAGCTGCGCTGCTGGCTGCGTTGTAGTGTTGTTGTCGGTAGTTGTCTGTGGTGGAGACGGCGTCCGGACGACAGTCAATGACGACAAAACACGATCTGGACAAAGAGGGACAAGACCTGTCGCCCGGAAACCTGCCTGGATATTCTGCTGCGTGAACACAGTCAGCCAAATCCGCGTATAGGCTGTGAGGAAATCTGTTTTGTCAATGTGGTAGACCCCATGGCGGGCGAGCGCCTCAATCTCACGCCCGTATGCACGCTTAAGAGGGGAGTAACAGCTCACATCTAGAGGCTGGAGGAGATGCGACGTATGAGGCGGCATACAGAGAGTGATAATCTTATTCTCTGTACAGAACTGGTCGAACTCTGGCGTAATATGACTACTATGGCCGTCTACAATAAGAAGACGGTAGACTCCAGCCGTACGAGCAGCTGTATACTGGTTGGAGTGCTTCACCCAATCTACGCCAAGCTCGTCCGTTGTCCAACCATTTTCTGAGACGCCGACAGTCCAGTCTAGTGGGAGGTCGCGATACCAGGTGCTCTGGTGGACTTTACCAGAGAGAATCATGAACGATGGAAGAGACCAGCCAGACGCGTTGATACACTCGATTGCTGTTACCCACTCGCGATTACCTGGCTGTACGACGACTGCCCGACCAACTCTATCAGAGCTATTCACGACTTTTGACGTTGCAGCAACACCCATAGCGAATCCAGTCTCGTCAAAGTTGTAGATATCTTGATCAAGAACACCGTACGTCTGGCGCGTCTCCTCTACTAGCTTAAACCACGCTGCAATTGCAGTAGGATCCTCAGAGCTAGCACGCTGGCTATTAAGCCTTCTACTCCACTTTATTTGAAACTCAAGCTGGCTCTGGACAAAACGCGAAACCCACTTCTTGCCAATAGGTTGTGGTGGATCTTGGCTACGCGCAGTGAGAAGAGTGTCTGCCATTTGTCGCACGTCGATAATATGGGGCGGAAATCCTCGTCGATCAAGGTCTAGGATCCATTATACAAGAGACTGTTCTTCGACAGGCGATAGCTTACGGTTGACAGAAACTGTCTCTGATCGTGGCTGGGTACCATGCACGCGGGTATGTAGTGTTGATTGTGGCACATCGTACGCTCTAGCAAGAGCGCGGATAGATTGTTTTGGATTACTACGATAGGATGCGATAACAAGAATTATTCTGCCTTCAAAAGAAGTTGATTTAGGACGTTGTTGTCGCGGCATTGTGGTTGTTGTGTAGAGCGTCGCGTCAAGTTGGGTGGGGTGCCCAGCTTACTGATCTGGCCAGCTTACTGATCCAACACGTTAACTATTATTATTATTCCATTATAGTCCTGTATCAGCCATTGGCTATATAAGACTTCGGCTAAAGGCCGTTCTATCTAACTAGTTGCAATTTGGTACCTTGTGCTGTATTGCGTGACTGTGGTGCTTCGGCCTTTCTCTAGCTAAGCTATAACTAGCTTTGTAGATGCCTAGTGCTAAAGAGCAGTTTGGTAATAGGGAGAGATGTAGGGCAGCTAGGCTACCTTCTAGCGGGCTCTCTTAGGGGATAGGAGATAGTACTAATAGACGCAAACATATTTTCTTCTTTCTTTCCTTTCTTGCTATTTCTCTTGTTTTTTTGTTTTTTTTTCCTATCTAGCCGTCCTGGCCGAGGTGCCACTTTCTTGTTCCTATTCTCGTGCTAGTAATGAAAGCCAAGGTAGCTTCTATATCGCTCGTAGTATGGAGTAGAAGTGGGAGTTTAAGTACTTTTTGGTCTAGAGTCTTTTTCAGCTTATTTCTTTCTGCGCTGTAGAAGCCGCAGTATAGAAGTAAATGCTCTGCTGTTTACGGTCTCCCGCATTTGCAAAGACCGCATTCTCTTCTCTTAAATCTCTTTAGGTAGGAATTGAAGTATCTGTGTTCTATCTTAAGAGAATAGAAAGAGCTTAAAATGTCTCTTTTCGTGCCTCTAGGGATTGCTAGTTAGTGATTGAGCTTTAGGTCGAAGGTAGCTCCGTAGCTAGTCTTCTTTTCTCTTGCTGTTTCCCTATACTTTCTCCACTCTTCTACTTGGCTAGCTCGTTAGAGAAGCTTGATCTTAGTGCCTAGAAAGGCTAGGCTTATTTGTAATTTTTTGGGAGTTTGCTTTGTAGCTTCCTTTACTAAGGAATCTACTTTTTCGTTTCCTTCTATATCTGTGTGGCCTGGTGCCTATTTTAAAAGGATCTTTGCTTTTTTATTAAGGATAGCTTTGGCTGCTTTTTGGCACCGAATTATCCACTGCTGGCCGGGCTTATCTGATAGACTCTAGAGCCTATAGATGGCAGCTTGGTTATCAGCGTAAACGTGGATATTCTGGTCTTTTTGGGCCGTTTTAGCAGCGTATTCGAACGCTGCTATAATGCCTTCAAGCTCTCTATTATAGACAAGTTAGTTCTCGCCTATATTTGTTATTTTTATATACATTTCTTCTTGGTTTGGGTTATAGACTGCTAGACCTACTCCGATCCTATCTCCGTCTTTCGTTTGAGAGGCGTCTGAGTAGATTACTATAGAGTTATTCTCTATTATTTGGATATACTCCTTGTGTGCGGCTGCCTCTTCTTCTTTCGATTTCTTTAATATCGAGATATTGTAGTTAAGAGAATCCCATGGTCTAAACCTGTATGGAATGACTTCTTCTATCTTATTAGTGGATGGGATGGAGCTCATGATAGTCTGTAGTTGTCTAGTCTTGTTTGGCTTTTTTTGTAGCTAAATAGTTATTTTTTGTAGCCTTGTAATAGCTTTGGTGATTGGATGGGTTAGAGCTAGTTGTATAGCTCGTAGTGCGTATTTTCGATTCGTTTGGTTAAGCCGTGTCGCTGGTGACGGCAAGCTAGCTTCGATACTTGTTGGGATAGCTGGAGCTGTTTTGAATACTCCTAGTACCTTTCTATAAGCCGCGTTGTGTAGTGGCTGAAGCTGATCTTCTATATAGCTCTGGTTTCGCTAGTAGATTGGCGACCTATAATCTGTAATGCTCGTAACGCATGCTGGGTATAGTTGTCTAATAGTAAAGGGGGATAGACCGCGGTCTATATTCGCTAGTCTCCCTAGTCTATTAAAAGTTGTTTTTGCTTGGCTCGCTCGGATAGCTACGTGCCCTCGAAAGGATAGCTTGTTGTCGAGGTGTACCCCTAGCCACTTAATCGTATCTTTGAGGTAGATTTTCTCCTTGCTAGGGAGCTCTAGAGGTATTTCTTTTCTTTCTTTCTTCTTTGTAAAGTGGATAAGCTCTGTCTTTGCTATATCGAATTTAATGGCTAGTTCTTTTCCTTTGGCGACTAGCTTATTAGACTTCTCTTTGTAGGATCTTAACGTTTTTCTTAGTAGACGTTGAGGAGGTTGTGATAGAGATATCGTCAATGTAGGAGAGCTGAAATCCATCTGTTTGGTGGAATAGGTCTCTAATATGGATGAGAAAGAAGATTGGAGATACTGGGCTACCTTGTGGGATGCCCGCGTTAATTTCGCTAAACTCCTCCATTTGGCCGTCAAAAGCGAGCCTTAGGGATCTATTAGAAAGAAAGGGTTTCGCCCACGTAATTAGGCTGATTGGTAGGCCTAGTCTTCTTAGTGTGTCTAGGAACTGGTTGTGCGAGACATGGTCGAAAGCCCCTTTAACGTCTAGGAAGACTGTTGATGTAGTATAGCCTTGTTGTTTTTGGTGCTGGATTTGATCTACGAGAAGTATGGCTGCGTCTATAGCTGATTTCTTTAGTCTCCCTCCTATCTGCGAGTCGTGTAGAAGGTTTGTAGTCTCGGCTAGGTAGCCGAGTCTCTTGGCTATTATCTGTTCTGTTACTTTCCCAAGACAGCTTAGTAAATTACTCTATAGGCCTTTGGGATAGAATAGTCGGGTTTAGACGGCTTCTTTAGAATTGCTCCTGTGGCTCTTCTCCAGCAGGTTGGATGGTATCCGTAGTTGAATAGCAGAGAGTAAGCTTTGAAGAACGTGTTTGGTTGAGCTTGGTAGGCGGCTGTGATAATTTCCTGTGGTAAAGCGTCTGGGCCAGGCGTGCTACTTTTGACCTTGTTAGAGCACGCGTATTCTAGTTCGGCTATAGATAGCGCTGGCCACTCCCACTCTTTTTCTTGGTAGTTATTAAAGCTTGGTGGTGCTGTACTTGGGGGTGGAGGAAATAGTGCTTTTCGAAAGGCTTTGCACTTTCCTTTAAAAGAGGTTTCTAACGTCTCTCCTTGGATAAGGGGGGATTCTTTCTACTCTCTTTTCCTTAGTATAACTAGTCCATAGCTTTGAAGATAGATTGTGGGTCTTCTTTTTCTAGGAAGTTATTCCAGTACTCTCTTTTAACTTTCTTAATTGCTGTTTGGTACGTTGTTCGCGCTAGAAGGAAGTCTCTTTTAAAAAGATAGGCTTCCTCTGTAGAAGTAGCTTGAAGTTGCTGCGCGAATGTTCTTTGGCAGTAAGATACGTTTTTTCTTAGCTTAGTTAACTCCTGGCTCCACCAGGGCTTTGCTTTTGGCCCTTGTCTTTGTTGTGGAATAGCTCTGTCTGCAGCTTGTTGGATTACTAGAGTAATTGCTGTGCCAATTGCTTCTAGTTGCAGCTTTAGCTCGTTGTCTTGGCCTGGGAGTAGGTTTCTTGAATCTGCTTTCCTTGGTTGGTTGATCTGATCTAGCGATTGTAGCGCTGGGTTGCTTTGGATAGCTTTGCCCAGTTCCTCTCTAAATAGGCCCCAGTCCGCCCTTTTTGTATTGTATCTTGTTTGGCTAGCAGGGTTATTAACTAGGTCCTTTGTTGTCTGGATTGAGAAGAGCATCCCGTGGTGATCGGATCCGGTTTCTGTTGTGATTTGCCAGTCTTTTACTTTGTCTTCTAGATCTGATGTAGCGATAGATAGATCTAGCGTTGGTTCTCTAGATAAATGAGGTCTAAAGAAAGTAGTAGTTCCTGGCGTGTTGAGAAGGCTAAGGTTCTGGTCTTCTATCCAGTCTGCTAGTTGTTGGCCGCCTTGGCTGGTATTGCTACTGCCTGGGACCCACCAAGGGTGGTGCTCGTTATCGTCTATTAGTAGGAGGGTAGCTGTGGGTAGCTGGGTATTCGCGAGTATTCTTTGGAAGGTTTTTATATTCTCTTGGTTTTTTTGTTTGTACACGTTGTAGATGTTGAAATTCGAGCGTCCTTTTTGGATCGTGATAGCAATAGCGTCGGGGTCGGCTATTTCCTCTAGCTGGCTAACCTCTGCTGTTAGATATCTAGATATCTAGAATAGAGCTCTTGGGCGGAGGTTTGGGTCTGCTTTTGGAAAGATTTGGTAGAAGCTTTGATGGGCTATTGACCTTGGGGCTTCGTAGTTATTGCTATCAGAAGGGGCAATCCACGGCTCTTGGATTGCAATAATATCAACTTTAAGCTCGATTGCTAGTTGCAGCGTTGATTCTGTAGCGCGTGGGTTTTTGTTTAGGTTTGCTTGTAGTACTTTAAGGTTTTTTATCATTACGATTTAATAGATAGAAACACTTCCCAGTCTTTACTATTAGCAAAATGGGTTTGTTTGCAGTTTTTGCATTTTGGGAGCGTGTGGTTACAGGCTTTTCCCTTTATTTTGCAAATACTACATACGTGCTGAGTAGTTAGGTGGTTTTCAGCACAGAACTGGCAGCTAGCTAGGTTTTTACACCTGCTAAAGTTGTGTCCAAACCCTTGGCACTTACTGCACTGAGCTGTTGGTGGGATTTGGCGGTATTTCTCAACCCGGAGCGATTGGCCGAGAATTGTTATTCTATTGCCAATCTTCTTCGCTTCTTCTTCTGATTTACAAGCAATAACAATAGAGCTTGTTTGCTTGTCTTTCCGGTTTCTTGATAGCCAGTAGGGGTTCCCAACGATCGTTTGGTTCTTATTGTACGTTGGGATTTCTGTGTGGAGTAGCTGAAGGTTTTCAGCCCCGTCGAAGGTTGTTGGTACTCCGTGTACAACTAGTTGCGTCCAGGACTCTAGCGGCTGGGCTTTCTTGATTGGCAGCTGGTTTTGCCAAGTATTAATTTGCTTTAGTAGGGATTCTCCTGAGTATCCTTCGGTGGTTGTGAGGATAAGGTTGTTTCTTCTACTAGTGGCTACTTGCTGGATAACTGGGCCAGCGATTCCAGCCTTCTGGAAGGCTTGGTTGATCTTGTTTCTAACAAGTAGGGGGCTGGTTGTTTGGCCCTCTTCTAACGTAACTAGCGTCTGATAGTAGGACGCTGGTTTTATTGGTTTTGTTGGTTTTTTCCTTGGCTGGACTGTTGTCCAGGCTTGGTTTGCGTTATTTGCTGCTATTGCAGCGTACGAGGTTTGGGCTAGTTTTTGGGTGGGTTGCGTAGCTATTGGTTGTGCCTTGTTTGAAGCTGCAATCTTAGCTTGTTTAAGCATCTTTGTTGCTTGCTGGGAGGCGTTTGCGAGCGTCGCTGAGTGGTAAGCTGGCTTGGCAGATAGCTTTTCTGTAATTTGGTTTGCTACTCTGCCCGTTTCAGTATAGTCTCTAAATACGTCTAGAAGCTCTAGTAGCTTATTTTGAGCTACGTGGGACTCTTCCATTGTAGAGGCTTGGAAAATGAGGTCTCTAGCCCAATAGATTGCCTGCTCAGAGTTCTTGGCTACTGATTTTGGGCTAGAGGTGTTTTGGTATGGGTTTCTGCCTCTATAGGTATTCTCTGGCGAGAAGTTGGCATATCGTTTATTTGGTAGTAGTATTGGTATCTCCAATACGCTAGGTGTTGCTTGGTTTTGGGTAGGGGTGGCTGGAGTAGATTCTATCTCCATTTCTCTATCAATTTGAGCCTCTGACCCTAGGCTCTCCCGTCTATTTTCTTGGGTATTTACTACGATAGTATCACTATCTGGAGGCATTCTGTTACTAAGCTTTTTTCTTGGTAAGCAGCTAGGTGGTCTGTGTGTTTTTGTTTTCGTGAGTGAGACGTGTTCAAATTAGCTACTTTACCAGCTTCTAGTTTAACATCGCGTGGGCTGCACGGCTTGGCACTAGTTGCACTCGCTTTCTTAGGATGGATTTGTATATATTTAGCTAAAATGACACCTATCCTGAAAAACTCGAAGTTGTTGGCGTGTAGCTTGCGCGATCTCTGTCCCTTATTCTTGTGTATTTGATACAAATATATATAGCGCACTATATTAACACTGAAGTCTTTTGCAATCACTGTAGGTGATGTTCGTCTTCGTGTCCTGTTACAATACTAACCCCCATGGCATTTCCGTGATTACCCCCATCGCCAATCAG